GCGTCAATTGGAATGATTTGCTCTTGGAAAAAACTTGCAGGAGGGCAGTCAAATATTTCTCAAGTAAAGTGCATAGTGTCATCAACAGAATTCTCCCGTAAGTTTAAGTATAGGAATAAAAAGAACAGTCTTCCCTGGATAAATGCAGATATTTTAAAACTGATGAAAGAGCGAGATCTGGCACTGAAAATGGCCATTAAGACCAGATTGTTCCACGACAAATTCATTTTGCCATGTTAAGAAATAAGGTGATAGCAGGGTTGAGGAAGGCTAGGGCTGATTCTTTTATGACAATAATTAATGAGGCGAGGGGAAACTCTAAATTAATATGGAGTCAGTTAAAAAAGCTCCTGGGTCAACAAACCAAAGCAGGAAAACAAATTGAACTTAGCCTGAATGGAAACCTGACGAAGGACCCAGCTGAAGTAGCTGGAGCTCTTAATCGATACTTTGTCGATTCTGTAGCAACTATTGCACAGAGCTTCTCTGCTAAGCAGGTTAATCTGTGCTTGGCAAACAAAACAGAGCCAGCTTTCATTTTATAAATGTTAGTGAATCAAAGATCACAGAAATTATTAGATCCTCAAGCCATCAAAAGCAAAAGATGATTTTGGGATGGACACAACAATGGTTAAGGATCTTGGTGCAGCATTAGCCAAACCCATCACCAAAATCATTAATCTCTCAATATCACAGGGTGAATTCCCAAGGGTGTGGAAATCTGCCGTTATTTCACCAATGTACAAATCTGGTGATCCCCATTCACCCTGCAATTATAGGCCATCAGCATTCTTCCTAGTATGTCTAAAGTTGCAGAGAAATGGGCGGCTGAGAAATTATACATCACCTGAACAACAGCTCTTATCACCTGCATCCAATGCAGTTTGGATTCAGATCCAACCACTCAACAGAGACAGCTAATTGCTTCCTCATTGAAAAAATCAAATGCTAGATGTGGTTGCTGTCTTTCTGGATCTCAGAAAAGCATTTGACACTGTAAATCACAGGGTTCTTCTATCTAAGTTACCCACCTTTAATTTCTCTGCTGATGCACTGAAATGGGTAGAATCATATCTCTCCAACCGCTCTCAAAGTGTGCGAATACTTAATTATCAATCTGACGCCCTCTGCTTGTCCACGGGCGTTCCGCAGGGATCTCTACTGGGCCCACTTTTATTCTTCTTGTATGTAAATGACCTGCCATCTGTGTGTCCTGAGGTTAACATTCAAATGTATGCTGACGATACAGTTTTGTATGTGCATGGTTTAACAAAAGCAGAAGTTGCTTCAAAACTAACAACCGCAATGGTCAAAATTACAGCATGGCTTAATCAGTGCTGTCTCCAACTTAACGTGTCTGAAACTGTTGGTATGTTCTTCACTAAAACAAATGACTCAAACCAGATATCCGATCCAGATATACTTGTGTCAGAGAAAAACTACAGATTGTAAAAGAATTCAAATACCTTGGCATTATACTTGACTCCAGCCTGAACTTTAAAGCACATGTAAAAAAGTCTGTAAACAAATTAAATTTAACCTTGCCAACTTCAGATTTATCAGAAACTCCATGTCTACTGAAGCAGCCAACATGTACATGCATTCAATGATTTTCTCATATATGACCTACTGTATGACAAGCTGGTCTCAGGCAAGTCACACCACATTAAAACCACTACAGTCTTTGTATAAACAGACAATAAAAGTTTTAGACAAAAAACCAAAGCAATTCCACCACTGTTCAATCCTCAGAAAATACAACCTCCTGAGCTGGGAGAACATGATTAAACACAAAAATGCTCCTTTATAAAATCTCACATGGTTTGGCCCCTCCCCCACTCAGAGAGTTTGTAAGCATATGAACAAACACACATCACTTCAGGAGGGGTGTCTCAAGAGGCGACTGCATTATTCCTCTAAGGAAGTGTGTTTTTAGTCAGTCGGCCTTTTCTGTTCCAGCCTCACGTGAATGGAACAACATCCCAACAGTTATCAGAGAGAGCAACACATATCGTTCATTTAGTTCACATCTGAAACACTGGCTATTTGATAACCACATCTGCAGCACTAAACCTGTTCCGCTCGCTGCTGCCCCCTTGTGTCTGGTTGTTGATGAATGTGTCCTGTTTTTTAAATGAATGTGTCCTGCGTGTTGTTGTCTGTTGAGGTGAGCTTCAGGTATAGCTCACTCAATGTTTTTTATGTGGCCTTGTGTAATTTGTAATTTCTACGTGTTTATTGTATATTGTGTTACATGTTGTTTTGTTGTGTGCACGTTACAGTTACTTTAGTAGGTTATTGGATACGTGCTTTTACTAATACTTGTTTTTGTAGCTTTTAGCAATGTTTGAATTTTTTTTTTTTTTTTTTTAGGGAGCCTTTTATAAAATCTGTCCAGGGACAACAGATGAAAATTAGCCTTTTGGCTAACTCTGGCACATTTACAGAAATGTTTATTAATATGCAATGTCCCTGTAAAATAAAAATAAAATAAGATATAAAACGGCACAGTGTTACATTTAATTTTAAAGAATATGATGAATTCCTGTTTGAAGTTAACCATCAGAATTATTAAACATTTTTTAAATTATTTAACAAAACATCTACTGCAGTTAAAATGTAAAATAATTCAGCTGTAACTTTAATACAAAAATATGAGACAGAAATAAAAGAGAAACACAGTGACCGTTTAGCTGCTCTCTAAATAGTTAAACTTAAAAAAATCACTTTTGGTTCATTGAGCTGATAAATGTTCAAACTTATTTGTTGGGGATTGTGCTACAGTATTGTGAGAAGGTTTTATTTATTCATTCAGACTTTTATTGTTTGTGTTTTCGACATAATACTTTTATTTTGAAGGACGATCATCGAAAGTGTTGCTAGGAGATCATCGTGTTAGTGACGTCACAGCAGCGTCCTCTGAAGTGCCCGTCAGTGACGTCACGTTGAATGTTCAGATCAACAACTATGAAGCTTCTTCCTCTCGTGTGTCTCTGCGTCGTGACTCGGTCTGGAATAACGTTTGCTGATGAAAACGGTGAGAAAAGTAACGGCTCATATTTACTCTGAACTGTTTGAGATTGAAATGGATGAAAAATAAATGTAAAAATGTTGAAACATGAAGTCTGGAGACAGAAAAGTAGGAAGTTTATCAGCGGAGGGGAGATAACGTTAGCACCGGAGACTGTTAGCATCGATATTTAGCTCCGTTTGAAACTAAAGGACATTAATACAGAAATATTAAAACATCAACCTCCACAGCTCAGGTGACGTCATCACATTACAGCCGTTTAACAGACATGCGCAGTGTGATGCTCGTCTCTCTGGGAGTAGATGTTGGAGGGCGTCTCCTCCATCCTGCAGAGAGAAAACTGCAGCATCACTCACATATTATGGACCATGATCAATTACAGATAATACAACATGGATGTGAGTCCACTGTGTGAGGGAGTATCAGAGTTTAATGAAGTTTTTAATGAATTATGAAATAAGAGTCAGAATAAATCAAACTAAAAGAAGAAGCAGAGAAAGAAGTTTCACCTCCTTCTCCTCAGAAATCTCAGATTCAAAGAGTTTAATCGGCTGATTCAGAGACACTTTGACTAAAGAAACGTATGAATACTGATGTAAACATTCACTAGTCTCTGTTCAGAAGTGTGACATGTTTGTTTTTTATCTTTGATATCAGATGAATGTGTAAAGAAAAGGATGAGGAGACAGAAACATCAACATGAGGGTTTATAAATGAGATAGATGGTTAAATATGATGAATATGTGTCACATAGTAAAATGTAAACGACTGTGAAGACGCCCGAGTTCAGTGGAAATGATTTCATGATGACATTTAGCTACACAAAGATAAACAGTGAGATTATTATGATCAGAAACTGACATTAGATTATCACACAAACTGAACTTTATTTTTCTGCATGTAAACAAACTGATTCATCCTCGTGTTTCTGTCTCAGGTGGAGTGGTGGTGAAAGAAGACAGTGATGCTGTGTTACCGTGTTCCCTCAGCACCAAGGAGAACATCGAGACGAAGCTGTTTGACTGGAAGAAAGACGATCACAAGGAGGTGTTCATGTACGACGGAGGAGATTATTACGCTCACGGCCTTTCAGGTCAAGACAAACAGTTTGAAGGTCGAGTCTCACATTTTAACGACGAGCTGAAGAACGGTAACGCCTCCATAAAGATCAGGAAGACCAAGGTGGCCGACAGTGGAAACTACACCTGTTTTTTTCCTCGTCTGCAGCCGAGTCAAATGTTCCACATTGAGCTGGTTGTTGGTGAGTTTTCTGGTTCAGTCAGACGTGTTTGAAGAGTCCCAGGTGGATTTCAAATAAACATCTGGCAGGTGTTCATCCCCACAGAGCTGCAGCCACATCTGGAGAGACACAGTTTGTATCAGACATGAAACACGTGATCCATAATGTCACTCTGCACAGCCACAGTTCAGCTCTACACACATTATAAAGGCAGCACATTTACATTCTTCCTCCAGGGTGAAGTTGATCATCTGTCCCTCTAACATCTCATGTCTTTTACCTTCCAGGTGCTATCTTAAAGGACAGAACACCTGAAAAAATCCAAGGTGAGTCCAGATCCTGCTGACAGGTCTAAGTGTGTTGAAGAAGCTGAGAACCAGAGAGCAGTGTACTCATTGTGTTTGTAATGTTGTTTAAAGAATAACTGTAGAGTGATGATGTTTCAAAGCTTTAGCTTTATTTAGATTTGATAGAATGATTCTGAAATATAAACTCTGATATACCATCTTAACAACTACAGGGACTACAAATACTCATTTCCTCTACTTTGGACTTCCACTTCTTAAATCACTCCTGCATGTGTTAATACATCCTACCTGCCAGTCATACAGGTGACTGGTCTCCATGGAAACCAGTTCACTTTAAATCTCTGTCCTTAAAGGCTCAATGAACTTACAAACATGAAATATACTCAAATAAATCTGCTGTTTATGATCAGCTGTTTTCTACCAAAAGGTCCATTTGCTGCTTTCCTGACTAAATCTGTTTTTTTACACCTATTCCTTCTTTAAATCTCAAGCAGGCTTACCTAGGTCCATTCTTTCATTACAAAGTATAATGCTCCATAAAAGTGATTATCAACTGGCGCCCCGCGGGCCACATACGGTCCCCCAAAGCTTCTCATGTGGCCCCCAGAATATAAAGGATCTCTGGGGAATAAACCATGAACATACAAATAAAATCACAAGGCTGAGATACTCACATGATGTTAATGGGAGACATTACATTTCCCCTCTGACTCCAACTTCTTCACATCAGGCTTGAAAGCTGTGTGCAAGCATATTTTAAATTCCTGTCCCCTCAGTGTCTGTCATGAAAAAAGCCAAAGGCCAAATATTGAACATGGATGTGACAGAGCTCTCACACTGATCCAGGTGTTTCCCACATGGCTGCAGAGTATCTGTGCTTCTGTCCTGGTTCTAGTTAGAGATAGTAAAGATGATTTCCAAACTTTTGGTACAAGTGAAAAGTGTTTGACATCCAACAAACAAATCTTGGATGTTCAACCAGAGCCAGTTATTTTCTTTAAATCGTGTTCTTTGTTTTTAATGTTTTCATCCTCGTGTACTCAGGATTTGTTATAAACAAGAAGAGGAGAGATGCACAAGACAGCTTACCAGTGTTACATCTGTAATTATGTATTTGTCCTTCATTGCTGATAGGTCATCTATTGTTCAATTACTCTGTGTTCACAGGTGCTGCTCCAGAGCCGTATGTCACCATACTCGATGAATCAAAGGACTGGTCTCTGCTGCAGTGTTTAGTCAGAGGAGCTTCTCCTCGACCTAAAGTGGAGTGGAGGGACAGTTCTGGAAACATCCTTCATGCTAAAGAAGCACAGGTCACAGAAAGAGGAGGCAGCTACGACATCATCCTCCAAACCACTGTGACCAAGACCGACCACTACAGCTGTGTGGTCACACAGGACCAGATCAAACACCACACTGAGGCAGAGACCTACGTTCACATCAACGGTGAGATGTTTCTTGTTCTACTTTCTGTTTTTCTGTGCGTTCATTCTTTGTTTTAAATGTAAATGAGTTCTGACTGAATGTGAAACGTGTTTGGATACTTCACAAGTGAAACTTTATTCAAAGTGAGTTTAAGAAATTCAGACTTTCAGTGACTCTCTGAACGGACTAACTTGATGACTGGACAGAGAGAAGAAGAAGAGTGTGAAGGTTGACTTTGAGATCAGTTCCAGACGTACAGAGTCAGTGTTTCTCTTGTTGTAGCTCAGTGATGTCAGTGTGGACGTGTTTGTGATAACAGTGAAATGTTCAGGATTAGAAAACAGCTTCATGTTGAGTTCACACATTTCAGGAGCAGGCTCGTCAGTTATCATTTCATATTAACAGTTATGTTTATCCCCAAATATTACAAACACTTTACGTTCTATCCATTCAGATCCTCAGAGTTACGTTTGCTCTGTGTAACATTTATTACAAGACATTTTGAAAACAGGAAAAATGAACAGTGAGAAGTTTTGTGCAGCCGAGGCTCTCGCTTTTTAAACAATGAAAATGTCTTTATTTACTTGGCATCATGTAGACCTTAAAAAAACAAGAACTCATCAGTCCTTCATCAGGAAGTCAAACAGAGATAAAGTTGTACTAGGTGGAGCAGATGTTTACATTTATACATAATATGATGAAAATGTAAATATTGACCACAAACAGGAAACACAACAAAAACAAATCAAAACAACGTTTACAGGAGATTCAAACCCAACTCTTACAGTAAGCCGGCCGTGCACCGGACGATTTCAGGACGACTTAGACCTGACTTTTGAGTCGTACGACTGATTTGAAGTCAGGCCGCATTTCAGCCCGATAGCACGCCGTTAGTGGAGCAGTGTACACTGAGGCGTGATGGTCACGGCCCGATCAGCTGCTCCCTGCTGCTCGGATCATTTGTTCATGTGTGATTGTTTTGGTCGTACGACTGCACACACTTTGCACGGTGAGCGCAGAGCCACCAGCTGATTCTCCCACTTCAGGGACTTCTTTCCTGATTGTTCACAAACTGACAGACAGCGTCTAAAATCACCATGGCAACAGCAGGCATGACTGTTTAATCTGTCTCCACACTCCGATCATGAAAGAACCATCAGCAGGAAACATCTGCAGAGCTCCAGCTGACGGGGAGAATCAGTTCTGATTGAGCTGTCAGTCACTTTGTGTTTATTTGGGATGCTGTGAGAGAGAGAGAGAACGTTTTTCCTGGTGTGTATTAGAGCCGACTGAAATACACATCGATCAGACTTCAACCTCCGTCTGTGGGACTTTTTCTTATTGACACTTGTGATGCTGAACACTGTACAGTATGAGCTCATGAATTCTTTTAGTCGTTCAGTGTTCACTGGACTTTACATTAAAACTCAACAATCTTTGACAAAAAGACAGAAAAATGAACGTCCTCGTTTAGACCGGGTGTTCAGTAGTCTGAAAGTTATGGATCCAAAACGCCTCCTGCTGGTTCTTCTTCTTTTCTACCTCTTGTTGCACCTCTAACCAACACGTCTGCTCCCTCCTGTGTAGCTTTAGATGTTTGCCAAACTTTTCCCTCATGAGTAAAAAAACATTTCAATTAATTTCTGCATCACTAAATTAAAATCTTTTAAAAACACAAACTCTCTGTGGCGCTGAAGATAGAAAAATGCTGCACAGAAACTAAGTGTGTGAAAATATAAAGAAGTCCAAAAGTCCAGATATCTTTGTAGATTTATTAAAACAAAAAGGGAAAACAGTATTTGTAAAGAAAAGGTCCAAAAATGATGATTTAGGTGATGATGACGATGACTCACTCACCCCCTTTGTCTAGCCTCCCGCCACCCCAAATGCACAGGTAAAAATAAAGTAAACCACGCCCACTGCTAATTACCAGAAATAATAAGAAACCCATATAAGGAGCAAAACATAACAAATAATCAACTGAGGTAAAAACACACATTATGGCTCCTACACTCCATCTTACCCACAGTTCACCCTGAACTACCGTACCATTAAAAAAAGTTGAATTCTGCATCTCTACATTAAAAGTGTTCACAACACAAAGACGAGTTCTTAAAGACGTTTGAGCTTGTTGTTGAAATGATCACCTCACACTAACCACCAGGTTTAACTGAGCAGCTGATGGAACAAACTGAAGAAACTATTTAGTTCAGAAAACAAAAGAAATGACCAGAGCGAAGAGGAGGTCAGAAATAATTCAAAAAGAATCGAAATGAAGTGAGGAAGATTATTTACTGAATAGTTTATGACTAAAAATACATTCAGGTGTTAATTCTAACTCTTCATGATGTGTTTCTGTGTGTAGGTCATCATATCTGGTCTCTGTGTGAACATCATGAACTCTTTTTATCTTCAAACTAAAACATTCCTGCAGACATGAATCTAAAAGAGCAAAACTAAACAACACCTGCTGCTCCTTCACACAGGATCAGGAGCTCACTTTAATGTTTCACACCTTCAACTCAAACTTATTTACTTGACAGTTTTTACTGCAGCTGGTCCTGCTGGATTCATCTCCATGGTTACCGTGTTGCTGCTCTCTGATTGGACGCTGCTGCAGATGTTACCTGCTCACCAAAGAGCTCCTGACTGAGAGCTGCACTCAGACGTGACTTCAGACTGAATCAGTGCTCTGAAACGAGTCAGTCGTTAGTTATGATGGAGGAAAGATTTCACACACAAACACACACACACATTCAGAAACACACACACACATTCAGAAACACACACACACATTCAGAAACACACACACACATTTGTAAGGAGCGGCGTGCCGTCACAGGAATCGGAGACGTTTCAGTGAGTGAGAAGAGACGACGTGTTAATAATGTGAAACATGTCCGAGCTGAATCTACTGAGGCCGACATGATCATTAAAACAGAGTATAACTAGGAGCCTCCTTTAGCTCCAAACACATGCACTGATCGTCCCTTTAATCATTTGATCCATGGAGGTCACTAAAGGCCTTAAAGGGACAGTACACAGTTTGACCGTGTGCTCGTTTGACCTTCTTATGACCACACGGCGTGTTACCTGCAGGAGATGAAAACATACTCGAGCAGCTTCACTAAAAGTCCCACCTTCAAGAAAAACACAGAAACCTGAGTGTCCGCTGTGTTTGTCAATATTTACACCTCTCCATCAGACCGCCTTTTCCTCGGGGACTACTTTCTTTAAAAGCGCACAGCGTCCGTGTTCCTCCACGTGCAGCTCGCCGTATCAGATCAGCGTCACAGAAGAGACGAGGAACACGATGGAACACGATTCAACACGACAGGAAAGACATCAACTCTACCTCCAGCGACTTTCTAAAGTTCAGTTTGTGTCCACTTTGTTTGAAATGTGTCGATGTGATCGTATGTTTGTGACTGAGGTCAGAGCTCCAGGTGATGTCACACCTGATGATGTCATACTGAGGCTGCTGGGTAAAGAGGATTAACTCATCCATTCAGACACATTCACACGCCGCCGACGAAGCAGAGGGAGCAACTTGAGGTTAAGCGTCTCGCCCGAGGACACATGGGACATGTGGCTGCAGGAGCTGGGGATCGAACCCCCGACCTTCCAGTTGAGAGACGACCGACTCGCCCACTGACCCACAGCCGCCCCCGATGTAGACATATAACTAACATTAGAAATAAGAGTAAATGATATTAGTAGTATTCAGATGTTTTTATATCAATAGCAGCAGAAAAACCAACAAGAATCACATCACATATGTTCCACTTTAGAGCCGTATGAGATGAAAAGAGCGCTTACATCTCCATGGACGCTCACACATTCTCACTGTCCAATCATGAAGGGCTACATGACCTTTAACCTCAACTTAGAGACGGCTCACTCGTCGTCCTGAACGGCTTCTGATCAACGGAGACACAACCCACGTCTGCTGGGAGGGAGTGATTGACAGCTGTTTTGGCCTACAGCCATTCCCAGGAGGCGGGACTTAGCATGTGACAGGCTGAGATAAACTAAGGCGTGTACAGTAGAGGAATATAAAAGAAGAGAAGTGGAGATACATGAAGGGATGTGAAATCTTCTTTCCATGAACCTTTGTTTCCTCCGTGTCCACAGGAGCAGCTTCAGAGCCGCACGTCATTGGTTCTCCTGCCGTCGTTCTTTTGCAACGACGCCCTCGTTTTAATCCACCCAGACACGGCTTCTTGGAGGGGGGGGGCTGTGACTCCTCTTCAACATGGTAGTACGACTTCTGGTGCGTTCCATTTACCTCTCAAGTCGAATGTCCGAGCTAGGATTGACGTCACACCCGAGTTGAGCGCGTTCCCATGACCAGTTTGAAAACCAGTTTGACCAGCAACATGGACGCCTCCAGCAGTTCTTTAGTTTGATAACAACACACTACGTGATAGTTTGTGTCTGAACGTCACATGACCACATGTCCACAGAGAGAACTTCCACGATACCATCGGTGTGATTGATTTCATTACATCAGTTTCAGCTTAAACGTTACTGTAGATGCACGCAGCAGCCATGTTGGATTTTAGCTCGGGCTACTGAGGTCGCTCCGAGTTTCCAGAGTTGGAGTTCTGACTTCAGGGCCGTCCTTCCTCCTCCAGGTGGTGGCAGGGCGTACGGTTGGACAGGGAGGGGTTCCCTCCAAAAGAGACATAAATACTGCTGAAGGAAACATGGCAGTCCCGTATTTGTGAACTCAGAGCTGAGAACAACAAACCCAGAGGGAGTTTAAATTCACTCTCTTATTATGAAGTCTTTACTCCACAATACTAAATGTTTATTTCATGTCATGTTAATATTCAGAATGTCTTTTAAATATATTGCTTGTCTTCTTCTTTGTGATACTTTACTTATCTACCTCCACATGCTTTAATCTGAAACATCTATTCTGCAGCTTTCTGATGAAATCTTTTGTTTCCTCCGTGTCCACAGGAGCAGCTTCAGAGCCGCACGTCACCAACCTTCATCAAACCAAGGACCAGGCCCTGCTGCAGTGTTTAGTTAAAGGAGCTTCTCCTCGACCTAAAGTGGAGTGGAGGGACAGTTCTGGAAACATCCTTCATGCTAAAGAAGCACAGGTCACAGAAAGAGGAGGCAGCTACGACATCATCCTCCAAACCACTGTGACCAAGACCGACCACTACAGCTGTGTGGTCACACAGGACCAGATCAAACACCACACTGAGGCAGAGACCTACGTTCACATCAACGGTGAGATCTTTTCATAGTTTCAACTCTAAAGCTGATCTGATGAGACAGGAGGAAGTTTATTCAGAATGTTTCAGAGTTTTAATCCCACGTTTCCTGAGACTCCTCGCTCTAAATATCCTGAATCTACATTTAAGGCTTCAAACAGAAACTGAAGGTTGTGTTTAAAGGTCACATATTCTCCTCCTAATAAAGATGAACTACAGAGTAACGTTAGTTTGTCCTGATGATGATGAACGGCAGGAGACCACCAGTCTGAAAAGATGTTTCATTATTTATTCATAATTCAGCATTTTATATTTATGTGAGGGCTGTCCAACCAGCAACATTTTGAATCTCCATTAATCGCTACATTTCAAAAGTTAGTGGTGATTAAAGACATTTTGAATCCCGTGTGTAACCCTAACTCTAACCCTATGCAGTAACATGTTCAACCTGTAATATCATGTATGTGGGAGAAACAAACAAGCAGCTGAAATACAGATTGAGACCACAAATCTACCAAAGAAACAAAGGCAAAGAAAATCCGGCCGTTTACATGCACTTCAGAAGACGTGGAGCAGACCATCTGAAAACAGAAGGCATCAAAAGCAACACAAACTGGTCCAGAAGTCAACGCCTCAGAATGGAAACCACGTTCATCAAATGATTGAAAAGAAAGAAACCAAACGGCGTTTGACGTCGTTATGAATGACTTCCAGATCCAAGATGCTTTAGTCATTTATTCTACAAAACACAAGAAACTACAACTGCAGTTACCGGGTGGTAAAATCAACTTGTGATGGCAGTGCAGTGTAGTGTGGCGCTCAACAGAAATGTTCTGCTCCCACGCTCAGCCCCTCTCTCCATCTGAGACTAAACCAGGTGAACAGGTGAGTGCGGCTCATATAATCACTGACATCACCACGACATGTCCCACCTGTAACAAGAAGTAAACAATAAACAAAGCAGTAAACAAACCATGAAACCAAACACACCATCAACTTCCATTCATGGCTCCGACACAGAGGATCCAGAAAGCCTCCAGCCTCCACAACAACTCCATCGTCACGCTCCAGGAGAAACCTCACAGCACAGGATACAACAGCATCAGCGTCTGTAACGTATCCACCTCCCACTCACCTGTATATATCAGAGTCAGCAAACCAGCTCCACCAATCAGGACGTTTGTCACCACAGGGAGGACACATAGAGCACTTGTTTTATTGATTTATTACTACCCCATGAACACTTTGAACACTAAGCTGCATGTGATTTAATGCTGTCCTCTTTTACCGTGTGAACTTTGATGATTTAACGACATTCATGAATTCATTTATTTCTTGTTGTACTCACCTGTTAGAGAAACTTACCTGCATCATTTCATTCTTTTCTTTGCTCTCACAGGGGAGGAGGGTCAGGGTCTCCACCTCACCTGTACACAAAGAAACAACAACTTCCCACTTACCTGAACCCTAATCCTAACCATCCATCTCCACATCGTCCTCTTCCCTGCTTTTTATTCTTAAGCTCACCCACAATCCTAAAGCTAACCGTGAACCCAGCAGCCTCCCTAAACCTGACCGCTTCCTTCTCTTCAACACAACCAAATGAATCTGTTTACTTTGAATCTACCATGACATCTTTTAATGTTCTTCTCTTTTACACTTTTAGCTCTTTTTAGGCTTTTATGATCTGCTTTCTCTCCCGCCTACTTAGAGGGGATTTCAAGAGGAGGACCCCCTCCTACCAATTAAAGAAATACTGACCAGGGCCTGTGCCATCTTTGGACCACAAGCTGCTCAGACCTAAGTCCCCTAACCTATATACAAACTGATAGGCTTTTATTTTGAAGGTTTGCACTGTCTTAAGCTGAGAGTACTTTCCTTGCTGTGTGCTTTTATTTTGAAATACAGTAAGAGCTTCCTGTAGATGGAAGATAAGGACATGAAGTTAAGCACAGAAACAGGAAGTGGTTAGAGATCCCAAAGTGAGGTCAAACAGCTCAAAGGAACGGTAACAAAGGTCAATGTGTGATGTCATAAGGTCAATGTGTGATGTCATGAGGTCAGTGTGTGATGTCATGAGGTCAGTGTGTGATGTCATAAGGTCAGTGTGTGATGTCATAAGGTCAGTGTGTGATGTCATAAGGTCAATGTGTGATGTCATCAGGTCAATGTGTGATGTCATAAGGTCAATGTGTGATGTCATGAGGTCAATGTGTGATGTCATCAGGTCAATGTGTGATGTCATCAGGTGGATATTACTGTGTGAGAGTTTGTTAAAGTGAAATGAGACGTTCAAAGATGCAGCAGTGTTCTTCTTGTCCATCAGTGAGACTACAGGGAGACACTGAGGACCACTATCTACGGAGAGCCTGAAGGGACAAACAGGAGATTAATGTGATTAACTGGTTAACGCTGACAGCTCGTATTTATTTGTTTTATTTCATTACTTTGTGAAAATACGCTCAGTATAATATTTGTTATCACTGATTTTCACAACGTTGTTTGACAGCAATGATGTCATCATCGGGGGCGGAGTCATGTCTGAAATGTTTTATTATCCTGCTGAATGAGAGCAACTTTAATTTAAGGTTTATTTTTGTGCTTTTATTGTGAAAGGACAGAGCATAGAGTCAGAAATCAGAGAGAGAGAGAGAGAGGGGAATGACAGGAAAGGAGCCTCAGCTCGGATTTGAACCCGGGCCGCCCGCTTGGAGGACTACAACCTCTGTACATGAGGGGCGTTCAAACTAACCACTAGGCCACCGGCGCCCCAAACGAGAGCACTTCAGAGTCCACTCCAGAGAATATGTGAACATCAGACTGAAGTTCCTGAAGCTGCAGACAGAAGAGGAAGAATCAGGGAGTCTGCTGGAAAACATGAGAAAGAAGTGAAGTTAGTTTTGAATGTTTCCGTCAGTCTTCTTCACGTTGAACACAAACCCAGTATCAGATCTGAAACCAGCTTCAGTGTCCTCGTTCTGAGGATCCAAGTGAAAAGACGTCTCAGGACGATTCAGGGACTGAAGTCAGAAGAAAGCAGCCACGTTTATTTTCCACAGGGGAAAGAAATGTGGTTCTAATATCTGTGAGTTATTGTCCCACATGTTGAAGTAGCTGCTGCGTTTAGTGAGAGACGAAGGAAACAAACATGAAGGAGGAAACTTCAAACATGTACAAACTGTTTCATTATTGATGTTTGTTTTCATTTCTTCACTCTAAACTGACGGGAGACTAAAAAGTGGGACCAAACTTGAAGTGTGAATCAGTTCAATGATGGTTCCTGGTCATCATTTGATCCCTTACAGACACATGTGGACTTTAAAGTGCAGTTTGTATGAACGATGTAAACATGTTGTTCATCACGTCACAGAGAGAGTCCTGGATGATCAACATGTTGGAGTGAACGTCGTCTTTACACGCTCTTTCTTCACTGCAGCAGAGTGTTGCTGGATCACAAACTGAACTCAATTTAAACCAGATTTCAGTTTGAACTTGAAGAGAAACTTTACATGAAAACATCAGAGACATGTTGACATGTTTCAATCTGAAACCAGGAGGTCAAAAAAGTCTTCAGCTCCACATTTACTTTAAGAACCAGTGTGTGTTTCACTGTTTGTCCACTAGAGGGCGCTGTCAGCTTGATCTGCACCTTGTTTAAAGGTCATCTCGCTGCATACAGTCACAGTGTTTAACTGATCACATCTGAAGTTTCATTTCAAACTGTTTTTAGTGTTTATTTAAAGATTGTTGATCCTTTAATGAGCTAAAGTTCCAGTTTCAGTCGTCTCTGAGATCATGAGAGGTTTAAAAACTCTCCGTAAATGATCCTTAAAGTATAAAAACAGCTCTTTAAAAAACGCTGAGACGAGTTAAACTCCTTTATTCAAAAGTCCTGCAGGTCAAAGTGTCAGGTGAATAAACTTCAAGTAGTTTAAAGCATCATGAAACTCTAAACTGTGACGCAGTAAACAGTGGTGAGATGAAGTCCAGATGTGATGTGTGTAAAGATCCAGATGTTGACGAGCAGGAGGTGAAGATGGTCCTTTGGGTGCTCAGAGTGTGCTCACATGTAAACAGTGTGAAGTGGATTCAAAGTTTGTCGGTGCTGATGAGCAGCTCGTCTCAGAAACAGGACGAAGCTCCAACATCAGCCTCCTCACTGCTGAGAGCCAAAAACCAAAAGGAGGCTGAGAGCCGAGCAGGAGGAGACTGAGCATCAGAGCAGAGCTGACGTCACACTGCTCACACACACACACACACACACACACACACACACACACACACACACACACACACACACACACACACACACACACACACACACCTGCTGTTCTCTGTGTGTCCAATGTGACGTCCAGTCTGATCTGAGTGTGATATGAAACTACACTCTGAGTGATACACAAACTTTTTGTTTCTGTTTCAGGTTTCTCTGTTGGATGGATTGTTGCTGCTGTTGTCAGTGCTCTTTTGGTTGTTGTTTTCATCGTCCTAGCTGCGCTCTTTGTCACAGGTCGCATCAGTTGTCGTAAAGGTAGGTTAAAGAACATAAAGTCTACCTGTGTGTCTCTCTTTAAGAGTCTTGTCAGTATCTCCTCAGTCTTCAGTCTGTTTTTTACTCTCTCAGTCAGATCAGTCAGTCGTGATTTTCTTGAACATCATTTAGTTTTTTCTTCCTGCAGACGAGGAGAAAGGTGAACCCATAAAAGACCGCACTGAATCCGACCTTCTAGCTGAATGAAGTCAGGTAGACTCACGTCGTGTTCCTTCAAACCTCTGACTCTGGAACTCCAAAGTTATTGAAGCTAATCTGCCTTAATCCCAACATGAAGATGATTTCATCTGTTTGACCATCATGATGTCATACTTGAAAACAGCTGAGTGAGGGATCAAATCCAACCAGGTGTTTGTTCTCACATTTTAATGAACGCCGTGGAGATGGGGCTTTTTCCCATCAGAGCCCGTCGACTTTGGAACGACCTGAGGAGCATGTTCATGACACATCCTTACACCTCTAACGTTTACTCTGCTTTAAATACACTGCAGCTTTAATGCATGATCATTTCATTAATATCATCTGTGAATGGAATCCAGGGTTTAAAACATAAAGGTCTCCCTGTGAACATCCCAGAGAGCCTCTGACTGAGGATTTAAAGAAACACTTTGAAAAACAGGATTGATGTGAGAAAGTGTGAAATAGAAGTCCCTGTTTGTGTTTGCTCTCCTGTTGATCCAGTGTGTGAATGAAGAAATGAGAGCAAAGGCGCTTTACGACTGACGGAGAATCAAAGCCTCAGTACTTCACTGAACTACAGCTGCTGTTTGACTGTAAATACATGAGATTCTGTTGCTGCTACACTGAGATATAATGAGACTTTAAGATGTGGGACGAGGATGTATCTCTTCTTTAGACTTTATAAAGCCGAGTGTGTCAGGTAGAGACAAACACAGAGCTGAAGTATGCTCCTAAACGTTTCTTTATGCTGCTGATGAATGACGCTCTGATGGTTACAACGTGATATCAGGCTGTGCTTCATCATTCACATCCACCTGCTGGAATAAAACATGATCAATGTTACACTGTGTGTTGGGACTGCTTCTTATGGAGCAGGATTTTTAGGATCAATTAGTGAGTTCACATCATGACTTTGTTGTTTTAGTATTTTTTAATATCAGGATTCATCGTTTTATGTCTGGTTTGAATTTTTAAATTCTAAATTCAGACTTCAGATCTGTTTCCACATGTGGCACTTCTCCTCCTGTAAGTGTTTGATGTCTGAAGAGAAGAAATCAAGAATATTTATATGAAATAAAAACATTATAAACTGTAAACATGATGAGATAAACATCAATCTAAGTACATGAAGAAAACAATCAGACATTAGATAGCCTTTACATTCTTTTAACATCAGGACGTTTCACCAAATATATTCTTGTAATATTTAAAAACAATTGTTTGTCTCCAGAAGATGATGAGGGCCCGACATGAGAGAGAAGATTCTATTCTTGACATTTTGACTTTTTTTAAGGAGCCTCTGAAGTCTCCAGAAGTGAAAACTTTTATTCTGTGTGCAAAACACAATCATCTTTTTCTCTGTTATTTTTTAACCTTTTTGTCATTATTGATATGACAGCTGAAGAGAGACAACATGAAGCAAAGGTCAGAGGTCAGAATCGAAACGTCTGCTGTGATCGGGACTATAGCCTCGAGAATTAAAAAATGATCGACATTTGATTAAAATAACGAGAAATGGAGATTTGTTTTATTGCTTGTGGATCAATAATCTTATAATATATAGTATATTATGTTATTTTTCAATCACTTTTTCGGAGACGAAAGGGCGGAGGAGACTTCACTCCTGCTGC